TTTGCAGAAGAAAAAAGACATTGAAACTGGGGGGTTTTGCAAAACTAACCTAAGAATTGTAGTCAAACCTAACCAAACCTTTTTTTTGTACATACTATTCACTCTTGAAAAAACTAAACCCTCCTCATGTTTCTAAAATATTTACAAAATTGCCATTATTATTAAATATTTTATAAATTTCGAAAATGAGCAAAAACCTATTACACTCTAAACATTTCTCCTTATTTATCACAATGCCATTGTCATCAATATTAGCAACCACCAAAAACCACCATTGATGAGGTCTTTAAGCTCAAGATATGAATTTTCAACCACTTATTTCACTTTCTAAACAATACTTCATTTCCTCTCTATTTTCAACTAAAAAAATCCTCATAACACTCATTTTCATAAACAGAAACTTCATAGTTTCGATTTTATTCACAAGTGAATCGTAAAAGGTGCCTCTTGTGCTCATATTTGGATTCTGGACGGTGGAAAAGCTTGGAAACAAGCTTTAAACCGGAAAAAGGTAACTATTTACATGCTTTTCGTCATATCTCTAATCTGTATCGCAAAAGTAGACTGTATTATATGTCTACACTTATGTGTAGACTTATGATGCAGTCTACTTGTCAATGCACAGGTTACTTTTGCAATTGACCAAAATAATTTTTTTTGTAATGTAAACCTACAAGTACGTCAACGTCTTTACCTTTGAAACCAAAAACAAAAAAAATGGTAGACTTACTAAGAAATCTACATAAAAGAGGTTAGTTTTGCATTTGACCAAACTTTTGGCTTACCATAGTAGACTTTCTTGGACGTCTACACTTTGTAGACTGCAATAGAAGTCTACTGAAGGTCAGTTTTGCATTTGACCAAAACTTTGACTTCGTTAAATAGGTTTCTTTTGTTTTTGACTAAAATGTTTAGAAACTGACCAAAACTTACTTTACGTGTAGACTTCATTTGCAGTCTACAAATCTTAGGAAAAAAAGTAGACTGCATATGAAGTCTACTATTTTTAGTTGGTCAATTGCAATACTAACCTGTCGGGTTATAGTGTAGACTTTTACTGCAGTCAACATGTATGTAGACATTTAGTTTTCTACTCTAGTAGAAAGTCAAATTTGGTAAATTGCAAAACTAAACTCTTTCAAACAAATTTAAAAATGTAGACTGCATAGTAAGTCTACTTCTAAAAGTCAAACACTTAACGAATTCTGGTCAATTGCAAAACTAACATTTTTAAAAATGTAGACTAAAAAGAAGTCTACTTGTATAAAATCACATCTTTTTTCAAATACAGAAAGTAACCCGTGAATTTGGCAATTGCAAAAACCAACCTAAAAGTAGACCTATAAGAAAGTCTACAAAATGTAAACTGAAAAATGTCTACATTTATTTAGACTGAATATACAGTCTACATAGAAAAATCTATTAAAAAGTGGATTTGTGTATTATTCATTAAGTTTTTTCAAATTTTTTTGTATGAAAGTGTGTGTTAGTTAATCATAAGGGTCTTCAATGATTTTCTTTCGATAATCTGTTATAATCATGAAGTTAACACATTTTTGGTTTGTCTATGTTGTTAGCTTAAAATTTGTAGACGTACTTGTAAGTCTACGTTAAAGTTTTTGGTTTGACTATATTGTTGGCTAATAATTGTAGACGTACTTGTAAGTCTATTTTATAATTTTATCGAACATGAAATTTTTGTTTGCTAGTTATGTAAACCGTATTTTTTTTTTGCAGGAGGTGGCTCAATTACTCGTTGTATACAGAGAATGGGTGGTGAAAAACTCTAGATGTGTTAGTGTTATGTGTCGAACTTATGAGTTGTCTTATTGCTATGGATGTTCTATTATGTATTAGTGTCTCATTGCTTTGAGTTGTCTTCTATTGGATTTGTAGGTCTTTAGTCTGTGTTGAACTTATAAACTATATTGTTGCTTTCGATTTTGTCTAATGTGATAGACTTATGTTATATTTTTCTCTGTCAAGTAGACTTCTTTGTAAGTCTACAAGAAAGAAGACTAATAAGTAACAAGAATTGTCTGTCAAGTAGACTTCTGTACTTGACTCTATACTTGACAAGAAACAGTGGGATAAGCAATAAAAAACTTTCATAAGAGCATGATTATCCCACAACCCCATTTTGGGTCTCTTAATAATTTTTAAGTATTAAAAGTGACTTAAAAGACATACTTAAGAGACATCACTTTTTTATGGCTCCAATAGTAGTCTCTTATTGTAGGATTCTTAAAAAAATGATTACACTAGTTTACACAAGTAAGTCTGTAATTGCACTTCCAATGCTCAACTCATTCACTCTTTTATCACCTGAGAGGAAGGAAACACGTGATGAGAACAATAAAAAGATAGGAAAAAAGTGATGAGAACAAAAACAAGGACATGAAACAAGTAATGAGAACAATAACACCAACAAGAAACACAAACACAAGCATTTTGATTAGACGTGAAACACAAAAAACAGAAACAGAGAAACCATAACACAACAAGAAACATAAACAAAGTACTAATTAAACTTGAACTTAAACAACATAAAAAAACAGAGAGCTCACTGAGCTAGTGCTAATGGCGGACATGCTATAAACCGTGTGCTAATTGTACACGTATTTACTTGTATGCTCTTTACAATATTAGCAATAATTCAAACTCATTGAGCTAGTGCTAATGGTGGACATAATAGTGCTGATGCTCATTGAAAAAATAGTACTTGAAACATACTAGTGTCAAATGGCATTCAGTGTAATAATCATTAATAAGAAAAAGAAGAAAAAGTAGACATATAAGTCTGTTCTTCCTGCACGATCCTACTTGTCATCTGGGGATAGAGTCAATGATTTCTTATCCCGGAGTTGCACAAAAAAACATCACAGTAAGAAACTGGAACTAGTCAGGAAACTTCCTCGTGACATTTGTCACAAGACAAGATGATCATATGGCTAATAACACACATGGCAACAATTGCATACAACGAAATTCAGGATTGAAATTTGAAGACACTATATTCAAGATTAACCACGTACACCATCAACATGCACAAAGCTACTAGAGCATAGCTTTTTTTTTTTGTCATCTGGTGTTTTATTAAAGGTCTAAATCCAAAAGGACAAAGTCCAAAACTAGCATCATACAAAGCATAAAAACCCAAAATAAAAAAGACATTAAACTTAACTAGGCCTTAAGCCCACACAGGAGACAAAGAGGGAGATACCAGCCCAAACCACCACGTGAACATTCATCACCGTCACGACCGGAAGGCACGAGGTTCCTCTGGAGAGAGCATGCTCGCCGGATTTCCGCCATCAGCGAAGCCAAACTGGAGACGAAGGAGTGAATCCGAAGCTCCGATCTTCCAACAAGTAAAAACAGATATTTTTGATGACAAGAGTGAACTACTCCCGAAAAACTAAGAAACGAAGAAATCAAAACACACTACATCTTACAGACTACTGAAGGCTCCTCAACACTTAAGAAATACACACTTAACACAACTGAGACAAAGAAGAAACATAAAAAAACCATAGAAACCAGATCTTAAAAGAACCACACTGAGACAATTCACAAACAAGAAAGCACAGCTCCGACCCTATGGAAGCCGCCGGAGCTGCAGATATGAAAATTTGAAAGTTCTTGGTAAGAGAGAAGGGAAAGCGTATTTGGATAAGAAGAGAGAGGTTTTTTATTGATAGGGGGTTTGCAGCTTGTTTTTTTTTGTCGCACCTTTTTTTTTAGTAAGAAAGAGTATTTATATGTCAAGTCACTTTTCTGGTTAAGTTAAACACCAATTAATGTAGACTGAAATAGACGTCTACATATAAGTAGATTTTACTGTAAGTTTACTATACCCTAAATATTGGCGCCAATATGGAAAAATAGGCACCAAAATTAATTTTCACTTCCTGCTTAGTTAATTTTAATTTTAAAATAATTTATTTTGGTAAACACAAATTAACGTAGACTGAAATAGACGTCTACATATAAGTAGACTTAACTGTAAGTCTACTATACCCTAAACCAGAAATCTCAAACCCTAAAACCAAAATCTCAAACCCTAAACGTTTGATTGGTTATAAAAAAATCTTAGTCATTGTACCAAATATCATATATAGAAAATATAAACTACTCAACATTAAATATGCAATTTTGAATCATTAAAACAAAATAATTCTGAATCTAGAATCTAACCCTAAGAATCTAACTCTAAAAGACATAACATGTTAGAACCTTTGGTTGCTAAACCATTAACATTGTCTACCACATAGTTCCCAAATCAATATACATTCTTTTAAATTGTTCAACTATATGAAAATTTAATTATATACCTCATACTAACCTTTAAATTGATGATTTACTAAAAAATTTACCAAAACCATTTTTTCTACTTTTTTAAAATTAAATTATTTGATTAAATTAAGATGTAGACTAAAAATAAGTCTACACAGTAGATGTTAATGTAAGTCTACCTAGTTGTAGACTTATTTCTTAAAGTGTAGACCTCCGAATGACATAATCGTAAAATATATTTCGCGTTTTTTGTTTGTTCATAAGGGTTAAATAGTAGTTTGAACACCCATTTAGGCTGGGTTTGCAATTGATTGAATATGGGGTACACCTTTAGGGTTAAAATGAATATTTGGGTTGGTTTTGGCAATTCCCCCTTGAAACTTTAATCCTACATTTTATAATTTTTTTTAAAAATTATAGTAATTAAAATAAAATATTATTTTATAGTAACTAAAAATAAAAATATTATTTTAAATAAATATTTAAAATTGAAATTTGTTTTTCAAAACTTTGTAATTTCTTCAAAAACCCTTAAAATTTATACATTTTTTTTTAAAGTTTTACTCATATCTCAATTTTTTATTAGATGTAACATACATTAGTTGTATTTATATGCCTATATATGTGTTTATTTATCAAACTAGACATAAAAACTATACATTAGTTGTAATACCTAATAGAATCAGTAGTACAAATTTAGCTTCTTAGGCATAGTAATTACTTGTTTTACTAGTGGTGTAAACCTGTTACAACACAATCATAAAATCCAAAATAATAAACTTCCAAAGTTTCATATCAACAAAACATAGGCCAGTCTAATTCAGTTCCACAGCACTTGAAGTAAATTATATGTGCTCCAGTCTACACCACAAGAAGAAAGGTCAATATTAGCATGAAACCAAAACAAACGAAGAAAGAGCAGCGGCTTGAAAGGGATTGTGAGGTTTACTTACAGGGACAGTGATATCAACTTTGTTCTTCCCAATAATTCTCCGTTCACCTACAGCAACAACTTCACTTCCTTGAGGTTTTGATTGAGCTGTAGATGGAAGTAAGATACCTCCCATAGTTTTTTCCTCTCCCTTCTTGATCTTCACCAAAACTCTATCTCCTAATGGTTTAATTGAAGTGTACTGTAAATTACACAATCATAAACTTATAAATCATAACTAAAGGAGAAGCAAAGTATCCAAATATCTTTACAAGCGAAGCTTGTAAATACAACCTAAAGCTAAGTTTTATTTTTCATGTACCAAACTATAGAAAAAGCAAATCCAAACATTCAGATAAGTTTTTCCACAGGTTCAATCAAATGAGCAAGTAGTATGTACCTTAGGAGCAACGACATAAGCAGCTCTGACAACCAAAGAACGAAACTGGCTCTATTTGAAGGGTGCTTGGTTTCAAAGTTCCAAACTTGGCACTCGAAACTCTGAGCAAGGCTAAGCCCCTGGCTGACACAGTAAATGGTGATGTTGTAAGTTGTGTCACCGCCGTATTTGACAAGCAAAACTTACAATTGTTAGATTCGACCCATATTTGACTAATTTTCTGCAAAACCAAGTCACTATTGAGAGAATCCACTGGTTTCTCCACCCAAAAATAAGACTTTTTATGTTTAATTCTCGCTGTGAACTGAAAGTGAAGGCAGAGGGTAGGCAAGTAAATATAATAGATTCATACCATGAGGATCAGAGAAAGGATTGTGACTTAAAGGAGTGATGTCGACGTCATCTTCTGGACTCATTAACGTTTCCAGTGCTTGACCATTGTTGCCGTTGTTACTGCTCGTATAACTGATAATCAGGATTCGGCGGCTCTCCACATCGTGGCAGTTCCTCTGTTTCCATTCATTACTCTCTCTCAACTCTAGTGTTACAGAAGGGTTTTTCGTCTAAATCGCAAAGAAAGACAATAAGAGAATTAAGACACGAGAAATTAGAGGAGAAATTGATGTATTTCCTGTTGATTTAGATAGAGGATGAAAAAAGCACGATTCTGAAAGACTCTGGTTTTAGTTTCTTAAGAGGGAGAAGAGTCAAGAGACGGAGACGATGAAATTTCAAATTTGGGAAGTTGGGTTGAGAAACGACGTCGTTTAGGTGTTGGTGGGTCAGAGTTTTAGGTTAGACCTTGTAAATATTTTGTTCTTATAAGGGGCTATTAGTCTTTAACCACATTTTCCTTTAAAAAGAAAATATAATATAATAAAAAGATATACAAGAATTCGATAGGGATATGGGCATATTGAGTTATTCTCCTGGACTAAAATCTTATAGGGACCACATGACCAAAAATTAATCTCCCACCACCTAAATCAATCTACATGGACCAAGGGATGAATAAATTACCATTTTGCCATTAATGATGGGTCAATCTAAACCATTTGATAAAATTATTTATGTTTTAATGAAAACCGTTGGATCATGAGACAAAAGAAAGGAATGAAATATTACAAGAAAGTCATTAACGAAATTTAATCTGAACCATCAGATCTTTTATCATATTTAATTTTGGCCATCGATTTCAATCTTCTCTCCTCCTCTCTCTTTCTCTTTCCTTAATCTCACCACATGATTAATTCACAGCCACACAATCTTGTTTTTTTATTCTATATTCGAGTGTGTACAACTAATATAACTAGTATATAGATATTATAATATATGCATAATATGTAGTTACTATAATTAACACAACTACTAAATCATATTATACATATGAAATAAACAGGTAAATATCCTAATTGGTATATGATGAGAAAGTTTCATCTATTTTATATGAAGTCTTTTTATTTTTCTAAAATTATTACATTACACTCTTAATTTTTACATTATATATTTTATACTTTTAAGGGTTATTAACTATGTTAGCTATATTATTATGATAAACAAATATTAAATTTTTTTTACAAAGTTATGATGTGAAAAATTGGTAAAAACCATAAAATTAGACATATAAACAATTGATATAAAATTTTATATTAGATATTAGACGAGTATTACTTGTATAACTGGTACAACTAGAAAATTTCAGTAGTTGATAAAATCAATTTGGTATTTCATATGAGAAAAATAATCAAATATCTCAATTGGTATGTACTAAAAAAGTTTCTCTTAGTTTATTTGAAGTTTCGAAAAAATTGAAAATTATTACACAAATTCATAAGTTGACATGATCTACCTTATACTTTTATGGTTTGTTAACTTGTTGATCCACATAATTTTTGAAAAACATAATATTAAATGTAGTTTTACAGAATTGATGATTTCATTGTAACCGGGCAATGACATGTAAACATAAATAAGTGGTACAACTAAGGTAATTGTATTTATTATGTGGTACAACTAATATTTTTCGATTTCACTACCAAAGTACAATTATGCACAAATTGGTACAACTAAAAAACTGGTACAACTATGTACAGTCGGTACAACTAGAAAACCGGTACAACTACTTGTTACTTTATTAGTATTGTTTAAAATGTCATCACGTTTTAAATATGTATCATGATTTAATCATTGTGGTTGAACATTAATATCAAGACATAAATTATGAAATTGATGATTTCATTGTAATCGGGCAAAATCATGTAGACATAAATTAGTTATACAACTGAGGTAAATGTATTTATTATGTGGTACAACTAATATTTTTTTATTACACTAACAAAGTACAACTATGCACAAAGTAGTACAACTCAAAAACTAGTATAACTGTGTATAAATGTTTGAACCGAGTTCGGTCGTGTATCAGTAAAGAGAGTGACTGAACTCGTCGGTGGGTTATTACGAAGGTGAGAACGAGTAAACGTGAAGAGGATGGGTTTTATTTATAGTCGGAAAGAGTACAAAGAGTAACTACGGTGGTCGGAGAGCTTAACCGGAGATGTACAGACTAATCGGGAAACAACAAAGAGATAAGAAGAAAACCATAGTGTAAGTTTCCGCCTATCAGTCTATTTTTGGATCCCCTTCTCGTCATGTCTCTTTCCCCCTTTATAGCAGATCCTCTTTCTCTCCTTTTGACCTAGAGCGATGCGCGTTCGCAGGCTTTTCGCTATGGGCCTTTGCTCGGCCCGTGAAAGAGGGGCTTATTAGTCGCCTTTCCCTCAGTCATCGGTCGTCCCGATGATGGGTCGGCTCCTACTCGGCTAAAGTAGTCTCACTCTGAGCCGACTTGTTAGTCGCTAGCCGGGCCGCCAAGCTGTTTCGTAATGGGCCGAATATGCTCTTTCATGGGCCTTGATGGAGGGGTGCAATCCACCTCCTACAGTAAGTCCCCCAGTCCACTAGTAATTTAGTGCAGCGAAGCAGAGTGGATTTTGCCTGTTAGGCCTGTGAAGTAGCATGTTCGGGATGCAGAAGGAAGCTTGTCGGTGCGCTTTACTCCGTAGAAGTTCTACGAGGAGGATTGCGTCGCTCATTCGGTTATCGGATTACTCGATCTATCGAGTGATTTTCTTGGTGAAAGGATTGCAAGAGGGAGAGCTGTGTTGCTTACTCGGCGATCAATTTGTTCGACGTGACGAGTGACTTACTCGGTGAAGAGAGCGAGGAGAAGAATCGAGTTGCTTACTCGGTGATCGGATTGTTCGACATGCTGAGTGATTTTCTCGGTGAAAGAAGTGTGAGGAGAAGAGTCGAGTTGCTTACTCTGCGATCGGATTGTTCGACGTGCCGAGTGAATTACTCGGTGAAGAGAGTGTGAGGAGAAGAATCGAGTTGCTTACTCGGTGATCAGATCATTCGACGTGCCGAGTTACTTACTCGGTGAAGAGAGTGTGAGGATAAGGGTTGCGTCTTGGTAGTCATCGTGGGACGCCACTAGGGGAAATTCAAACGGTCGCCAAGAAATGGGCCTTTTCTCGTAGGACTCGGCCCATTTAAGGCGGAAGTCGAAGGGTCGCGAGAAAAAGGCTCAACTAGGTCTTTGTAGACCTAATAATGGTGGCTCTGGGAATCGCGCCCCTCCTTCCTCTATATATATGCTCCTCACTTTTCTTCTCTTCATTCTTCTCCACAACATCATGTATCTCTTCTCTCCCCTCTCTCTACTTTCTCTCTCTAGCTTGTTGTAAGATATATACGTACCGTTGGTAGTGATGTGTCCCCGAAAGATATTAACGCGGGCAGAGAAAGGGATTGCTGTTGCATTGGATTCTGCTCGGGATGAGACGACTGGTGAAACGCTGGATGATTTTAATCTGGAACATCGGGACACACTGAGGGATTCAGCAGATCTCAGCTTGGCATAGAGACTCTTGATTGTTGACTCGGAGAGACATTTTAGAGGGGAGGATGATGGTAATGCGGCCGTCGAGTTACTCGGGCAACAGCGGCCTAACCCAGCGCGTCCTAAGCCAGCCGTTAGGGCTCGAACGGAGACGACTCTTCCCCCAGCGCCTACTCGTTACTCGGGAGGCGACGTTTTTGAACGGGGTCCCGTGGTTCCTCGGAGGTTGTTTTGCCGTGCCGACGTTCAGTCAGTTAAGAATATATGGTCAACATGGTCGACTCCTGACAGCGTGGAGCGTTTACTCAGGCGTCTCAACGCGGTTGGTGTGACGTATCTGATACCGACTGATGATCAACGCCCTTGGTCTCCGCTAATCGGATATTAGTGCGTCTACGAGTCGTACTTCCAGTAGGACACCAAGCTCTGGTTCCCGATACCACGGCTGATAACGTCGTATGCCTCTCGTCGTGATTTGGCTATAAGCCAGTTTGAAAATGGTGCCTCTCGTTTAGCCGTCGTGCTAATGGTGATGGCTGCTGAGATCGGTATATCCCTGTGTCCTTGGGCATTCGAAGAGTTGACTTTGATAAAGCCCCTGAAGAACGACCTCTACTCGGTGAAAATGAGGCCGAGTTACAAAATCATAACGGGTCATCCGTCGAAGACGCCGGATTGGCAGCATTTTTACTTCTTCGTCAAGTCGGAAAAATACTCGTTTGTCGACCCCCCGAGTGACGGGTTTCGAGTGTTGTGGAATTGGCATGCTGGTAGATAACTAGTCTTAATTCGTAAGTATTTTTCTCGTTCTAAACCTTTTTTTTTTTTGGGTGCAGTGGAACATCCGTACTTGACTGGAGTCCCGGGGATCCTTCTACGCAAACGCTCGAGCTTTGGTTAAACTCAGACACCGTAACTGGCCTGACATAAGTGAGGAGAGAGTGCGCCGAGCTTTGGAGCGTATATATAACGGTAAGATCCGAATCTCGTACACTGTTCCCCACCTTTACTGACCCTTGTGCTAATTATCTTCCATGCATGCGAGTGAGATTCAAAGCTTCCGTGTAAATCTTGGGCCAGTAAGAAACGATCGGCGCTTTTCACGAGAAAGGAACAACAGGTTATCAACAAATCACTGAAGATGAAGGAGATGCCAGACTTTTCTGCTGTCGTCGAGGCTGATGAAGAGCTGTCTGGAGCAAGGGGGCTCATGAATATCATAGACGGGTTCTGTTGGGAAAAAAATATCCAGGCACCAGATTCCTCCAGCCTCCGGGCTGGGCACCGGCCTTTAGACCCTTGCTACGAAGGGACCCAGGGCCCGGACCCTGCACTAAGGTTCCCCGGGCCCGACCTATGCTCCGAAACAGACCCTTGAGTAAAATGGAAGTTCTACAAGTAAGGGAACTCCTCCATATTCGCCAATATGGAAGAATCTAACCTAATGCAAGCCGACATCTACATCTATATAAGGGGAACCCAAACCCTAGAATAAGGGATCGACATTTAGAGATTGAGAGACTAGACCTAGGCGGCTAGAATTAGGGTTCAT